CAGCTAATCACTTCCAGGCATTAAATAGATCTCTGCGAAACAGGAAACCCAAAGATATAACATAAATATTTCTATCATTACAGGTTTTATCTGGTATCAGAAAAACAGCTAGTCGTTGTGTTTGACCTGGAAGCTATTGAGCAAAAGATCAGTGATGATCCAGATATTATGACCACAGCTGAGGAAACGTAGACCAACCAATAAACTGAGAACTTTGCCTTTTTGCTCAGATTTCTTTTCACCTCAACACAGTGGAGCAGCATTGGCTTTATAACAGGAGCTCCATCCATCCATCTATCTATTTACATTCTTCCAAGATACCTTTACAGGGGAACAGAACATCCAACTATTCCCTCTAACGACCCCCCCTTTCAGAGACATAGACAGGTATGGGGCATTGCAGGCTAACAAAGAAGCCAAACGACCCCCATTGGACCAGTTCGTCTGTCTCTATTTGCATGTTTTCTAAACCAAAGCCAGGCTTTGTTGGGCTGCTGGATAAACTTTTAATAGAAAAATCTTCCTGGATGGGAAGAGAAACGTCTTCAAACTTAGAAACAAAGACCAGAGGATTGATTTTAACTCTTTTGGAACATCATATACCTGACCTTCTAAAACTTTTCCAGAGCTGCCAGTCCTCTGGGGTTCATCTCAGCTGGAAGTCGGTCTTTAGTCGCTGCATCTTGGTCTCAGGCTGGGAGTCAGCTCAGAGGCGTAACCAGGGGCAACAGAAGAAACCAGAAAGGGAGAATGAAAAGTGTCTGAATGATGAGCTGAGGGGTTTCTGTGGTGCTCTTTGTGTTGCTGCTGATTTGATTACATCCTGACCTCAGGAGATGACCTCTAAACCTGCTTTATTTCCCAGGATTTTTCCTGTTAATAAAGAGGAATGTTGGTCATCCTGCGCTGACATCTGGCAGATCTCCAGAGGCCCAACGGCCTGCTGATTCAGTGAACCTTCCGCAGACCTGGAGAGATTTAAGATCCACCTAAAGTCCTGCTCTTCCTCTTTCCCTGAACTCTGCAGGAGGCTGAAGTTGGAGCAGAAGAGAGTCGGGCTCTAAAGACCAAGATCCAGCTGGCTGAGGAGGCTCAGAAGCAAGCCAGGGGGATGGAGATGGACTATGAGGAGGTCATCCACCTGCTGGAGGCCGAAATCGCTGAGCTGAAGACTCAGAGGATGGAGCATCCAGGAACCAAGAAGGTCGGTGACCTACAATCCCAGATCTAGAACATCACAGAGTCTCAGCAATGGACAGAAACTCTCGCTGACGTTTAGGTCTAACTGTAGAGAGATTCAGATGGATTTTCTTTTTAAACTTTAACCCAGGAGGAATCGGAGGAGCTGAGGAAGAAGGTGGCCATCCTGGAGTGTCAGCTGCGGAAGAGCGAGGCGGCCAATCAGGGCTTAGAGATGTCGACAGGAAAGCTGCTGAGCTTCGTGGAGGTGAGAGATTTCAGCAGAACCTGAATGTAAACTTTGATGAAAGGTCGGCTTCAGCTGGGAGCTCTGCTGCAACGGCCAACGTGTCCGAGTCCCTCAGAGCGG